TGAATGCATTACAAAACATGAACAATTGAAATGGGACAGATCTTTTTTGAACACTTTATGAGAGGAACCTGGTGCCTGTAGGATTTGGGTCATAAAAAGGTATTCCAGGTCCCCCGACCAGTTCACGTATCACACAAACGTCATTAGGAAACGTTACACACAGAAATGTTAATATAATTGACGTGTGTTAACGAATGCAAAGTATCTGTGAATAGAATCTGTTCTAAAGAGTGAGAATGCCAGAACGTGTAAAAGTGTTTTCTTGTGAATATGGTGTGAACGCATACAATAATGACCTGCCACTCGCACCAGGCCTTTGTTTCCCCCGGTGGAGTGTGCCACCCTGAGTGCCTATTATGTGGGGACATTGATTATTTGGAAATCACAGACTCTCGCCTGCTTCCAATACCAGTCTCACCTTATACTCCCATCTCCACATTCTATGCTAATAATCTGCACTTATTAAACGCTGACCGCTGAGGTTAATATTTACCCCAGGCAAATATTGAAAAGATATTTATGGGCTCTCCTTAGCTCGTCACAAACTGGTTTTGCTTAGTAAACTGACACTGCTCAGGAAGAGGCGTGAATAAGCAGCCTCTCACCGAGAGCTCTCCTTTCATCTCTCATCATTCTCTTTCATTTCTCTCATTGAGTCGGCAAATCGCCACAATCTCAGGGAACAAAGAAAGGAGATTTGACCAAGAAAATAAAGCAACCAAATGTATTATCCCGATGAGGGGGATAAGATTTCCTCCGAGCTTAACTAATGAGTATAAAGACCCTGCGAGAGAATTTGCACAATTTGCCTACAATTCTCTCAGAATACGGACAACTGTCCACTCCAATTTGGGATATTCACTAAACTGTGAATTGGGGAGAATTGTCCAGGCAATCAAAGTAGCTGGTCTAGAAAACTAGCTGAAATAAATCATTTTGGACTAAAATCCATAAATCCATAGTAGGCTCACTATAATTTAAAATTTAGTGAACAACCCTATAAGTCTTTGGGTAACATTTTGTGATGGACACCGGGATCTTGTAGCTTACCTCTGTATGTTAGGTTTGTTTTGCTGGCCAAGCTGACCACTGTTGCTATACGCTACGATAGGCCTTGAAAGCATAATAGGAATTATAGTCTCATCACAGCCAGATGAGCACTGTCAGCCACTGGTTCTATGTGCCTTTGTAAGGATATGTATGCTGGGAGTTGTAGGCCTACAGAGGGCACTACACGAATAGAACATATAGAGTTAATATTGCAGGAATAAACGCTGGTAATTCTTGTTAATTGCAGTGTACATGCTCCCCTCGGCGGAGCCACACCTTAGAGTTACATGTCTAACCCAGACAATTTATTAAACACAGATATAAGAACAAAGAATGGGATTTTGTCTGCCCATACAACACATGCAGGAGGGCAGTCTTTTCTAATACAAAACAGTTAGTGTTTTAGAAGAGTTTATCCGCAGATAACACTCAGAGCCATGATGTAAGTCAGCTCAGAAATAAAACTATTTCTTCTTGTGGGTTCTGGTGAGACACTTATACAGTTATGTCTATCCTATGAGTGTGGACTTAAAACGGCCTCGATGCTGGAACATGGCACTGGAACTGGAGAATAATACGGTTATGTTTGAGAATATTCTATGTCAAAAGAAATAATAATAATTACTTCTATATTAGAAGTATGTGTCACCCAGAATATAATATAGTGCTGGTATTTAATGTATATAATATGGTGCCAGTATCTAATGTATATAATATGGTACCAGTATATAATGTATATAATATGGTGCTATATATAATGTATATAATATGGTGCCAGTATATAATGTATATAATATGGTGCTATATATAATGTATATAATATGGTGCCAGTATATAATGTATATAATATGGTGCCAGTATATAATACGGTGCTGGTATATAATGTATATAATATGGCACTGCATATAATGTATATAATATGGTGCCAGTATATAATACGGTGCTGGTATATAATGTATATTATATGGGTCTGGTATATAATGTATATACTATAGTGCTGTATTTAATATGGTGATGGTATATAATGTATATAATATGGTGCAATATATAATGTATACAATACAGTGCTGTATATAATATGGTGCTGGTATGTAATGTATTCAATATAGTGCTGTATATAATATGGTGCTGGTATGTAATGTATTCAATATAGTGCTGTATATAATATGGTGCTATATATAATGTATATAAGGTGGTGCTGTATATAATATGGTGCAGTATATAATGTGGTGCTGTATATAATGTATATAATGTAGTGCTATATATAATGTATATAATATGGTGCCGGTATATAATGTATATAATATGGTGCTATATATAATGTATATAATAAGGTGCCAGTATATAATGTATATAATGTGGTGCCGGTATATAATGTGGTTATATATAATATATATAATATGGTGCCGGTATATAATGTATATAATGTAGTGCTGGTATATAATGTATATAATATGGTGCTATATATAATGTATATAATGTGGTGCCGGTATATAATGTATATAATATGGTGCCGGTATATAATGTATATAATGTGATGCCGGTATATAATGTGGTGCCGGTATATAATGTGGTTATGTATAATGTATATAATATGGTGCCAGTATATAATGTATATAATATGGTGCTATATATAATGTATATAATGTGATGCCGGTATATAATGTATATAATATGGTGCTATATATAATGTATATAATGTGATGCCGGTGTATAATGTGGTGCCGGTATATAATGTATATAATGTGGTGCTGGTATATAATGTATATAAGGTGGTGCTGGTATATAATGTATATAAGGTGGTGCCGGTATATAATGTATATAATGTGATGCCGGTATATAATGTATATAATGTGGTGCCGGTATATAATGTGGTGCCAGTATATAATGTATATAATATGGTGCCGGTATATAATGTATATAATGTGGTGCTGGTATATAATGTATATAATATGGTGCCGGTATATAATGTATATAATGTGGTGCCGGTATATAACGTATATAATGTGGTGCTATATATAATGTATATAATGTGGTGCCGGTATATAATGTGGTGCCAGTATATAATGTATATAATATGGTGCTATATATAATGTATATAATGTGGTGCCAGTATATAATGTATATAATATGGTGCTATATATAATGTATATAATGTGGTGCCGGTATATAATGTATATAATATGGTGCTATATATAATGTATATAATGTGATGCCGGTATATAATATGGTGCTATATATAATGTATATAATGTGGTGCCGGTATATAATGTATATAATATGGTGCTATATATAATGTATATAATGTGGTGCCGGTATATAATGTATATAATATGGTGCTATATATAATGTATATAATATGGTGCCGGTATATAATGTATGTAATGTGGTGCTGGTATATAATGTGGTGCCGGTATATAATGTATATAATGTGGTGCCGGTATATAATATGGTGCTATATATAATGCATATAATATGGTGCTATATATAATGTATATAATATGGTGCCGGTATATAATGTATATAATATGGTGCTATATATAATGTATATAATATGGTGCCGGTATATAATGTATGTAATGTGGTGCTGGTATATAATGTGGTGCCGGTATATAATGTATATAATGTGGTGCCGGTATATAATATGGTGCTATATATAATGCATATAATATGGTGCTATATATAATGTATATAACGTGGTGCCGGTATATAATGTATGTAATGTGGTGCCGGTATATAATGTGGTGCCGGTATATAATGTATATAATGTGGTGCCGGTATATAATGTATATAATGTGGTGCCGGTATATAATGTATATAATATGGTGCTATATATAATGTATATAATGTGGTGCCGGTATATAATGTATATAATGTGATGCCGGTATATAATATGGTGCTATATATAATGTATATAATGTGGTGCCGGTATATAATGTATATAATGTGGTGCCGGTATATAATGTATATAATGTGATGCCGGTATATAATATGGTGCCGGTATATAATGTATATAATATGGTGCTATATATAATGTATATAATGTGATGCCGGTATATAATATGGTGCTATATATAATGTATATAATGTGGTGCCGGTATATAATGTATATAATATGGTGTTATATATAATGTATATAATATGGTGCCGGTATATAATATGGTGCTATATATAATGTATATAATGTGGTGCCGGTATATAATGTATATAATATGGTGTTATATATAATGTATATAATATGGTGCTATATATAATGTATATAATATGGTGCCGGTATATAATGTATATAATATGGTGCTATATATAATGTATATAATATGGTGTTATATATAATGTATATATCTAAGGGTAGGAAGCTTTGCAACGTACATGTGGTCTTATTTTATATCTTTTTTTGAAGTTGACCAATTTTTGGTCTAAATGAAGTAAAATAACTAATTAATATAACAATAAGCAATACGAATAAAACAAATACAAACGCCTGGCCTTACAGTGTTCAGTATGGAAGTTGTATAACTGATGTGAATAGCTAGAATTCCTTCGTTACCTGCACAGGTCATTGCCATGACAATATATTACGGAAATCTAGAAAAAATTGCTGTGTTGTCACTGCTAAGCAGGAATATCTTACGCTGTATTTTGTAACACATATTAAGATTTTGATATTCAGAGATACTTATAAAGTCTAGAAATCTGAGCACAATGTGCCAGGAAACAAATACACCAAAATATGAAAGAAGTGGGAGAGCAGCAGGTATGGAAGATGTCAAGCATAATAAAGTGATTAAAATGTTTCAAATGAGTTGGACACATCATTAAATAAGAATATTTTTTGTTTTATTTTGTTGCGCTTGTTGCAATGATGACAATTCTAGTGACAATGATTTAACATATGCATACCACCAGCAAAACTGAACAGCTCTCGGGAATATCCTGATTTTATTTCTTCTCTCCATTAACAGTGTCCATTCTTCCTGTAGACGGCCCTCATTGCAGGATGAGTTGGTTAGTCGCTGGTGGACTCATGGGATGGGCCTTCTGTGTCCCTGGCTGTGCCAAAATCCTGGTGTCACGTGGCAGGATCACTGTTTTACCACCACTGCCACATGCAGACACTCATTATATCATAACGACACTTTATGCATCTCCTGTCATTTCCAGTGGTTCATTAGAGCTCCTACCTGATTTAAGCAAATCACAGACATTGGCGTGACCCTAACACTTTGTAATAGAGCATACACAGATCAATGCAGCCATGATACACGTTATCACATGGGAAATACTTTAGGTATATGGTTTATGTATAAATATGCTGTGTTGCGGTGACCCTAGTTTCCTTTCCGGACCTTGCCCAAGTCCACGGCAAAGTAGGCAAAACGTGGGAATGTGCGGCTGTTCTCCCTGTACCCACTTTAATATGTGGTCATTTTACATTGTTAAATTGTGATCTAGAAGAACATTTACATACAGAAAAGTGGAACGATCACCAAGGTATCTGATGACATCTGCAGCGCCATTCTACTGGATTCCATGGCAACTGCTCCACTCTTCAATTAGCAGGCCATTTATGTTATAAGAAAACAGAACATTTGCAAGTGTTGGTGCTGATCAGCAAAGTGCCCTTTCTTGTGAAGTCAGTGAGACAGAGGATTAGACAGAGACAGAGGATTAGCAGCACGGATTTCTCATTGCCTTGGCCTTGGTAACAATAGTTAATGGACCACCATGTCCAGGGACAGGATCTTTTTTAGTACTTCAATAATCTGTGAGCGTCTATAGATACATCCCAATGTTTGCAGGTGTCACAACATTTAATGATAGTAAGAACTCTCAAAGTCTAATCAGACTGATATTGTCCCACTAACTGTCTCATCTCAATAAATGAATAAACAGATCCTTAACTAGACTCCATCATGTAAAGGCTAATTAAACAGCCTAATGTACAGATATGTGAGTAAGCATGAACATATAAAAATCTCACAATGAATCATAACCTTAGAGTTCTGCACAATACAGAAGAGGTTTCACAATATATATTAATGCCATTTACATACATTGGGTTTTTTAATAGTTTTTTTTTGTTTTTTTCCTTAAAGGAGATCAGGAAGCAGTGGCCTGTATGAGATTGGCTTCATCCATTCAACACGCAAAATTCCTTGAACTAAGAGATTAAAATACGGAATCCAAGGAGAAGTGGAGAGGATCTAAGAGGCTCTTAGTTCCTACCATGGACAGCTCCGGGATTCCATAGAAATGCTGGAACACATCCCATGGTTCTGATGTCATAATGGCAGCCAAACAGATTGACATCCAACTGGCAAAATGACATACCAAATGGCTGGGCACATCAGTATTTGGATGAAGATATGACACCTTCAGAGAGTCGACCTTGAGCTGCAGATATTCATTGGAGAGTGGAATTCAGCTGCCATCTAAGACTGGGCACCAAATCCCACATATGGCAAGTGTTGGCACTGGGTTGAACATTGTATTTGCTGAAGCAAACTGTGGAGCATTACATAAGGCAATATGGAAAACATTGGATAAATTGCATGGCGAAGCCACTATCTCATTGAAAATGTGGACTTATTTCTGCCACTTCCATGGACACTGAACTTTTCAATTTTTTAGGTACATGTGCAAATCAAGAGATTTTCTCAAGTCTTTCAGCCAGCAGTATGTATCTAGTCCAATCTAAGTTGTTAGCTCATCTGCACATGTCCTTATGTCCACCAGACCAAAGTAATGGCCCAACTGTTGAGACGTACATGCAGAACAGAACCAATGACTGTTCCTCAGGCTAATCGACAGTTACAATGTTCTATACAGATACTGGAAACCAGGCAAGGACAGTGTGTGAGCTCTGTGCAGCTCAGGTGACAGGATCTAAATGTGGATCCCTAGCAAAAGCACCATGTCTGCCAATGTAGGAATACCCAGGCACATTGCTTCCCTTGTATGAAGCGATCCGGCGCTGTCTCTCTCTCCCTCCTCGTTCTCTTGCATGGACTTGCAGTTCTTCCTCTTGCTCTGAGTCTGCCTTGCTGGAGTTACCTTCTTAGAGCACTATATACACATTGATCGATGTCTCAAGCTCCCCGGTCTCCTGCGCTTTTCCGACAAATCCTTTCCTCATCGTAAGTGGTTTCGCTCGGCGAGCACGACACACACACTTTGCTCATTTTCTCCCTTTGGAGTTGTGCTGATGAGGCGTTAGGAGTAAATAAGCATATGCATTTATGCAAATTGCAGACTAGCGTGAGATAATGAAAACAAAGCAGCGCTGGCTCTCTGCCAAGCTGTGGCACTGAACAAGCCTCAGGCTGCTCCGTGCCTCCTGATTCCTCCGTAGAAGCAGCTGAGGAGAGAGCGAAGATGGGCACCCCAGACGTTCCGGTGCCCACCACTTGCCTGATGCAGAGAGGTACAATTTGCACGTCGCCTCCTTGGGAAGATTGGCATTCCCAGGAGCTTATGGTCATTACAAATACACCTCCCCTTTGCATCCACAGTTCCTTCATGATTCCCTCCATGGAATTTACAAACATTTCCCTCAGATCAATAGCTGTATTGATTATTCATTGTGAGAGAGTTCTATGTCTCTGGCCACACGGCTTTGGCACAGTGTGAGCTGCTGCAGAGCAGGAAGTGTGGGGGGGTGGGGGGGGGGTGGAATCGAGCTGCTGTTCAGGGTGAAGCCAAGACAGCAAAAAGGAGAGAGCGAAAGCAGGAATCAGAAAGAAAAACAGAAATAGGAGTAAAGACACAGATGCTACACGCAGCAAACTTGTTCCAGAAGAGATACAGCGTGTTTGGGCAACGTTACACCGGCCACTGCCACCTTTTTGGAGTCTGGCAGGATGCTAAAGAGGAGTACCGGAGATTGGGCTCCAACATGACAGCATGAGGGGATTACTTATCTTTTATTGGAAAGAAAATGCAGGGAAGAAAAGGGGATTTGATGACAGAAATAACTGGTGCAAACCAGCAACATTGGCAGGTGAGCCACCAAGGTAACACTGGCACCAATCAGGCCAGGAAACAATGGAGTTTGGGAGGAGACCCTGCCAGCTTTCAGTGGATTCCTGAGATTGGAGTCAGATGGAATTTAATAATGACGGATAATGCAGATCATCTCTTTATCCAGGCGGAATGAACTAATTGTGCCATTTATAAATGGCATCGCACTAACACACTGCATCACAAATAGCTATCTTTAGAACAGGCAATGCAATAAATATGAAGTAAAGAAGATCTGTTATAACCAGAGCTGTGGAATAATGGTGTGCGGAAAGGAATGTTTCAGAGCAAAGGATAAAACAAATAAAAATAATACATGAAAAATAACCTGGAGAAATGACAGAGATCGTTGCCACATCCAGAGGGCCGTATCTCCAGTGGCTAAAGATTTGAAATGATACATTGGTGATTGGTGTGAATATTGTGTAACCGAGAACACTCTCTGTAAGACAGGGCAGTGCCCTCTGTGTGAAGCCAATCAGGGGGCTGAGAAGGAGACATTCAGAGGAATGTGATACTCTGCCGTTCATATCCCACAGCTGATGCACTGGCTGCAGTGCTGCAGGGACAGCCATGTGTGTGAATACAGACCTGCATGTGTAATCAGATGCATTGTTTAAATGTCTCCAGCAGAATTTGCAGGTTTCTCAGTGATAGAATGCATCTAGGAATCTGTGTATCTGGTGAAAGGTTTTATCGGTTTAGTTCACACCCATCATTCAGGTGGTTCAGAGCCTGCATCCCCACTGTTCAAGTCTCTGCCTGTTATGCGTTGTGTGCAACATACAGAATGATTGATAGCATGCATGGGAATGTCTCACTGTCTACACCTCTCTCTCAGATCATGCATGTCTCTCTAGCTGCATACATGCCTGTTCCTGGCAGTGAACATGTCTCTCTGGCTGCATACATGCCTGTTCCTGGCAGTGAACATATCTCTCTGGCTGCATACAAGTCTGTCTAGATTTATGTCTATCTCATACAACATACTTGTGTCCGTAAACATGAACTGAATGTTTCTTTGGTGATTCAGTTGTCTCTACGTGTCTCTCTGGCACTGTACATGTCTCTGAACAAGTGTACATGTCTCTCTCTTAGTATGTATGTCTGGTGCTATACACATCTCCATACAGCACAGATGTATCTACATCATTATATATGTGTCTCTGTAAGTTTGCATGTCTCTCTGCCAGTATACACGTCTCTCTGGCAGCATAAGTCTCTCTGTCAGTATATGTGTCTCTGTCAGTATATCCGTCTCTGTCAGTATATCTGTCTCTGTCAGTATGCATGTCTCTGTCAGTATATGTGTCTCTGTCAGAGTATGTGTCTCTGTCAGTATGTATGTCTCTCTGGCAGTATATGAGTCTCTGTCAGTATGTATGTCTCTCTGTCAATATATGTTTCTCTGTCAGTATGCATGTCTCTGTCAGTATATGTCAGAGTATGTGTCTCTGTCAGTATGTATGTCTCTCTGTCAGTATGTATGTCTCTCTGTCAGTATGTATGTCTCTCTGGCAGTATATGTGTCTCTGTCAGTATGTATGTCTCTCTGTCAGTATGTATGTCTCTCTGGCAGTATATGTGTCTCTGTCAGTATGCATTTCTCTGTCAGTATGTATGTCTCTCTGGCAGTATATGTGTCTCTGTCAGTATGCATGTCTCTGTCAGTATATGTCAGAGTATGTGTCTCTGTCAGTATGTATGTCTCTCTGTCAGTATGTATGTCTCTCTTGTGGTATATGTGTCTCTGTCAGTATGTATGTCTCTCTTGTGGTATATGTGTCTCTGTCAGTATGTATGTCTCTCTGTCAGTATATGTGTCTCTGTCAGTATATCTGTCTCTGTCAGTATGCATGTCTCTCTGGCAGCATAAGTCTCTCTGTCAGTATATGTGTCTCTGTCAGTATGTATGACTCTTAAGTGCTATGCGTGTCTCTGTCAGTATACATATGTCTCTGTCAGTATGCATGTCTCTCTGGCAGTGTACATATTACTACAGCAAAATATATCTTTGTGTATTAATCTACATGTTTGTCTGACATTCAAATCCCACCTGCCCTACTGGTGAACACAACCCTCTATCACGTCTGTATCCCGGCAGGTGTACACATTAGAAGAATTCAGAATGTGGTAAAACAGTCAAACCAAGGGCCACAGACACACATTGCAGAGAGAAAATGGACAAAGTCCACATGTACAAGACAAGGATGAACTACAATAAATAGATTTATCGTTATTGAGGGTTTGAATTCTAAAATAAAATCTCACTTTGTATTACAAATATTGCATTGAAATATATACATTATTGATAAATGTCTACTGTGCGCTTGAAACATAGCGTTTGTTTCATATGTAAATAAATATAATCGTTACTTGGACTAAGAAGACACAGGAGTGCACTAACACACACACACAATGACTTATATTATAAACTAAGAGCAAAGTTATATTTCCCATTTATAAATACTCGGTAAAAGTTTCACCCTAAAATAAAAATATGTTTATCATTTGAAATAATAATATTACTAAGTGTACACACAGATAATCAGACAGACAGATAACTGGATAGCTAAATAATTAGACTGAAAGGCAGTCATTAAGACAGAGATAAACAGATAGACATAGACAGACAGATAGATAGGCAGATACAAGGACAGCAGCAAAAACAGCTCCATCTAGCGCCCTTTGCCCCCCATAAATCATACAGTTTGTAATTTTGTCATATCACTACAAATCACTGTTTAGTGAATATGCTGTATAGTTGTGCACTGCCTGTACATGTGGCTGTTACAGGATTCCTCTGTGCTCTGTAATTCTCATTTCTCACGTTTTTAATATAATGAATCACTGGAAGCACAGAGGAATTAATTATACTTTATTAAGAGAAGGTAAATACAAAACAAAAATAGTGTTCGTGCAACCAAAATGTGATCATAAAATGACCAAAACTGTGTATAAAATGATAGAAGACTGCTAGAACGGTACCATAGATATACACTATACAACTGTAAACGCTACGAGCTACAAATGTAGCAATTCAATGTAAAGAGTTAAACTAATTTGATACAAAAGTGACAGCCTGGTTTCTGTAGTGTCCTGTGTAAGTTATATACAGGATTATCTGTGTTTTGAGTAAAGGTCACATAAGATACTTAAATAGGGAGTTGGATAAGAAATAGTGCTTGGCTAGACCTGAAATCGCCATGTAAGAGAGGGTAAGCCTATTAGATATATATATATATATATATATATATATATATATATATATATTATATGTATACATTCCGTACAGTCGTCACTTCTAAAGTCTAACTAGCTTAGTAATATTAATTAGTTGGGATAAGAGCAAGTTAGAAGTAGAAAAATCATTCCCCAGTAGGTACCCTAAAGCAGACTACACCACCTCCTGCTGCTCCAATGGCAGCCCCCCTATATGGAAAGTCCTCCAAACAAGTAGGCAGCAAAACTAAAAATAAAGCGGACCAGTAAGATGGAGCATGCATGCGGGTAAACAATATACTGCTTGTGCTAGCTATATCACACCACTGCTACTAGAAAGGAGTACCCCGTACAGAGAATACTATGTAGCAGCGATGGGACTGATCAGGAGGGTAGAGCACGAATACTGCTGGATGGTACACTGATATCTGTTGGTGCTTACTAGACCACCCCCTCTGCTTCAAGGAAGCCCCCCAAAATAAAATAAATCAGAGTCTAACTGGTACCACAGTCAATTCTATCTCTCTATCTATCTCCGTCTATCTATCTATTATCTATCTATCTCCGTCTATCTATCTATCTATCTCTGTCTATCTATCTATTATCTATCTACCTATCTAGTATCGATCTATTATCTATCTACCTATCTCCGTATCTCTGTCTATCTATCTATCTATCTATCTATGTCTATCTATTAATCTACGTCTCTCTATCTATCTCTGTCTTTCTATCTATTATCTATCTATCTATCTATCTCCGTCTATCAATCTGTCTATCTCCGTCTATCTATCTATCAATCTGTCTATCTCCGTCTATCTATCTATCTCTGTCTATCTATATATCTATCTATCGATCTATCTCCGTCTCTCTATCTATCTAATTACAATAACAATAATGCATAAACAAGCTTCAAGGCTATGCTACGACTCTTTCAGTACATAATATACTGTGGTAACCTTAAGTAGATAAAGATGTTCAGACTTTAAGATGCCATCTTGACTTTAGTCAGGGAAATTTCCATGACGTGTACACCCATTAGTTTTGGCCAAGTTAAGGGAGGTCCTAAAATGAATAAAAGTAAAAGAAGTTACTTTTTCATATATGAACTACGGTGACCCTAAAATGAAGACACCTAAGGTATAAATAGGTGTACTTTTAAATGTAAAGACACAGACAGAGGAGAGACATGGAGACAGACGCCGCTCCATCTAAAAATGACAGAGAGGCTGACATAATGACATGTTCAGAAGGGTATGTTAATCTATTATTGATATTTGCGAGCATTTAGTTTAATCTTATAAACTCTGCTATAATGGATTTTATATGTCTATATTTATATTTTTATATAATAAATATCTAAAAGACAAAACTTTACTGCTCCCAAGACAATCCTTATTTTACATTGCATTCTCAATAATTTATATATTTTAAATAGAGGATCTCTTACTAACTATGTAAAATTTGATTTCTGTATGGTTAGCCCTTGTGACGAACGCTGGCACTCCGACTGAGTACCTCCGCCAATCGATGCTCCTAGTGCTCGCTGAGGACTCCAAGCACTCCAACCGACACCATCAGCACTGCAGACCCCACTTCCAGCGATGCAACTGCGCCGGGGTCTCTGCTGTTTCCACCCACCCTGGACCCAAGGCCAGGATCCAGCTTACAGTGGGTGAACCTCTCTTTCCCCAGAGAGCAGGAACAGGAACAAATCAAGCTATTGCAAGAGCTTCCTCTGGGGAGTAAGTGATTATAGCAATCCCCAGAGTGTAGGTATCCCTTCCCCCAAACATGAGCCAAGGCTTAATGCTGGAACAAGACTGATTTACTGGCACACTGAACTCACAATTTATGCAACACAAAACTCCTCCTCTGGGCCAGGCTAGATAATTGAGTTTCTACAATACACAAAGCTCAATTATCTGCTGGCCAGAAACATTACAATTTCATAAAACACACAGGGACCCCAAAACATGCAATAACCCCATAAGTATATCCTTGGAACCGGGGGATCTGGGTGAACCACATATCCAAAATTCACCCAGATCCGTTCAGTACTTTGGAAAATACAGTTTAATGCAGATTCTGCAGAACATATACAGGCTAAATGAAAAACAATCACTGTATAATGTGTCCCCTGCTGTATGGTCCAAAACCACTGCACGATGTCTCTGTGCACCAAATACTGGCGAGATGGCACCATGTTGAAAAGTCCAAACAGTGTCTGTGAGTTAAAATGGCCGCCATCCATTGTTCTCACCATGTGCTTCTGATACAGGAAATGGTGGCCACCCAGTAACTCCACAGTATGTCCCCAGATGGTTCTTAAAGGGCCAGCAGCAGCACAACACAAATCCATTATGCCCAAATCATGTCTTTAAAGGGCAATACATCCCAGGGGCCATAGTCACAGGGCAAGAGGCGGGCAAGCAGTCCTCTCCAGGCACAAGTGGCGAAGGGCACTTCGTCACACATCTTCCCTTTGGGGGGAAGACTAAACAGGTACCTGACCTTCTGCCGGTCAGTACCTAGATTAGTCGGGCAGCCCACCCACAAAGAAAAATACGCAGAGTAACCCCCCCACAATAAATGGTACTGGTCTGTAGGTTCAAGTTTGTAGTGGGACAGCGCAGCACTCTCGGTCTCCCTGGTACAGCTAGGCAAACTGCTGGTGTTGCTTGGGGGGGCGAGGCCAGCGGCGCTCTGCCCTGCTGCCAGCTCTTCCACTGGGGTAACCCGTGGTAAGTCAGGCTCTGATACAGGGGAAATGGGGGGGCAGAGGCTAACAGAGCTCTGCCCAGATGCCAGCTCTTCTGCTGGGGTAACCCATGGTAAGTCAGGCTCTGATACAGGGGAAAAGGGGGGGCAGAGGCTAACAGAGCTCTGCCCAGATGCCAGCTCTTCTGCTGGGAGGGGGTCAGTGGGTATCGCAGGCTCATCCACTGCCCCCAGGACCCGGTTGGGATGTAGCTGGGGAGGGGAAGTTTCGCTTACCTCCTCCTCCTGGCATCCCTGCGGGGTTGGTTGGGGATCTGGTCCACCTGTCCAGCCTCCCTGTAGGACTGGCACAGAGACCGCGGTCCCATCTG